CCCCCCCCCCCCCCCCTCCCGACCCTTCCCCCGTATCCAGGATCTGGGGAAGCCCAAAATAGCTCCGTGGAAAAAGTCAGAGAAGGAAGAAGATATGTTTTACGTCGGGGAGGACACAGGAGTACGACCGGGCAATGATCCCGTCATGTTCTTAGCAGCGATTGTGGGCATCTTGGGCCTGTCGTACATTTTTTTGGTGTAGGATTGCTCCTTCGGCTTGGCCCCACCCACCTCTCGCATGCCGTTCTCCTACAGATTGATGCAACAGGTGTCCCGCCGCTGCTGACTGCGGTCGGTCGTCGCAATGGAAGCATTAAGGTTAGCAGGACGAGTTGGCGTTGCCTTGGAGCGTGTGGTATGTTTACAACAAGGGGGCATTTTTTGAAGCGCCGACGCGCTTGGCCCTGCAGTACTTGGGGTGTACAAACGAGTAGACTAGAATAACTGCTGCAGTAGAGTAGCGTGCCCGGGGGTTCAATGGCGTGGAAAGAACGGTTGGGTTATGTATCGGAAGGGCGCAGCGTCCCCGCCTGTGTCGTTCGACTATTTTTTACTGAGCATGCGGTGCACACAAGTAGGTAGGAGGGTGCCGGTGTGTGCCTTTATTCCTAGATGCCGACAAAGGTGCGCGGCAGCCGAGCTTTTCTGTGTGTAGATAGTACGAACTCTGTTCGGCGGAACCTTCCCGTGGTTAACCTCTTTCGGTGGTATTCGGCCCGACTTCATTTTGGGCAAACAATCAACGCTCTGCGTACGTGCTTGCTCTCAGCTATGCAATGACCTTACAAATACGGAAAGCGGGGGAATTCCTTGCTTTCGAAATACTGTCGATGACACAAACGAAGAAAGGAGCATGCATTTGCTGGACCTGCTCTCATAACGAAACGACAACGATGAACTTGTACCCAGCTTATTTGTGGAACGATTTCTACGCTCACTCTTGTTTAGGTTGAATTCCACGACACGTATTCCTCCCCTTGGCCGGCGCCGATCACTGGCTTGCAAAACCAATTCTCCGAAAACGTGTTTGACGGGTAGGCTATTTCAATATTGCAGCAGCACTCATCATCGAATTTCCGTGTTCAACCTGGAAATTTCAGTTTCAACGCGGCCCCGATCCTCCTTCAGCCGAACTACGGCACCCGTGGTCCGGCCGGGACAAGCATAGGTCCGGGACATGCCATCGGCCCGAGGTGTTTAGCCGCGGCTAAACCACAGGCACGATCGCTTTATTGTTCCGACAACCAGGGACCCGCAATTGGTCCGCGATAAGTCATTGGCCCGGGACAAGCCATTGCCCCGAGCTAGCTGTATATTAAAAAGGTGGCCGGGCCTCCTCCAAGCACGATCGCTTCTTCTGTATTTACCGAAAATATGGGACCAGCCATTGGACCGAGCCAGCGTGTGTTGACGGCTCTGATCTCGTCTTGCCGACAAGAACACAAGTGTATGAGAACACGAAGCTCGCGCCACGGCGGGGTGTTTGCCCGTGATGGGACACTGCAGCATGTTTTTTCCAGTGTGGACACCATTGACCCTAACACACAGCTTAGACAGCAAGCACCACGAGTTTCAGATGGACTTTAGATATGCATATGCCGCCACACATATACAAACATGGAGATGGGTTGTGTGAGCACCATCTCATTTTATTAGTTTTGCGAGTTCGACGGCGAAAAGTCTATGCCGCCTCGGGAAGAAACCCACCACGCCGTCGAGGCGGGCGGGGGTGCATACTCATGTTTTGCTACTTCGCGAATAGACCATCGACCACGTCGAGGAGGGAGGGGGCCAAAAAACAAGCATGTCTTCCTTTGAGAGCAGAGACCAGCCGAGACGAGCGAGAAAAGCTCGGCAGTGCTTACTTGAATCCAAGGGATGGTCGAGTCACTCTGCGGTATGTGCACACGGGAACACCCTCAACGGACCGTCGAGTCACCCCGCGATAGGTGCGCACCAGACTGCTAGCAGTGGGTACAACGCCAGGTTGAATAGGCGGCATGCAGCTGCGTGCATGTATGCTGGAAAAAAATCTTCTCTTGGGGTGACCTGAGAAGACAGACGTCACTCCGGACAGAGCTCTCGTGAACACGGCGATACAATCTATCCGGCCGCGCTTTCTGCGCATACGGTACGTATATTTGATTCGTCAACTAGCTCCACAGTAACTACTCAGACAGAGAGAGACAACAGTACAATGCTTTCCTCCACCAGCAGTACAAAACACCCCTGGACCCATACGCGCTCGATCATATTTTCAGCGACACTATAATCTGGCACGCAACATTATCACACACGCACGACTTTTACTAGCAACGGGACGAGTAAGGAAATTACAGCGTGAGGCGCTCATATGTCACACAGAGTATTCTTCTGACACCAGACAAACATCCGAAACACAATTGCTTACTGACGCGGCCGACGATTACGCTTGTTATGCTTTCCCATATCGAGATAGCGTCGGCTTCCTCCCGCACCTCGTTCGAAAAAAGCCACAACTAACATAAGTCAGCTATCGCCTCTACTGGCGCACACCTCTTTTATCACTCCCTGGATACTTTCTCCATATTAAGCCAACGAGACGGCCGGAGGCAGGACACCCGAAAAATGACACCCGGCGGATCGAGAAAGTGGAAGCACCGCATCACCCAAGACAAACCTTGCGGGAGCTCGCATTCCATCGCGTTCCCTTCTTTGTCACACACGACATCGCTTTCTTTCGTTCTCCTTCTCTGTCTCTCAACACACCACGTTGTTGCCAGGCTGCATGTGCATGAACCTAAATTCTGGATACAATCTATCAGCCCCCCCAGCCGCGCGCGCGCATTATGCACTACTTCCCGTATACAGCAAGACCGAAATGAGTTGGTGCGATTCCTCTTCCCCCCAAAGCGTCGATCGATGAATGCACAAAACAAAAACACGCGCGAAAGGGTCTTCCTTTTTTTGAACTCCGGTAGCTGATGCGCAACTAACTGCGCAATGGACCACCATTGCACACTATGTACAATTCTGATGGCACAACAGCAGCGTACACATGATCAAGAGAGAAGCAGTTGCCACTGCGATACCAACAAACACAAACAATCAACCCCCCTAACAAACACACAAGATAAATCACGACAATAGTATCTAATCGGTGGTCAACAGGTCACAGCCACTAAACGGCGTACGTAATATTCCGTCGAACACACGAGGCAACACACAAGTCTTTACATGCATGATCTACATAACATAAATAGGCAGTCAGCCGGCAAGCACGTACGAGTGAAACCGCCCCTAAATCTCTCCTTGAATCAATCGCGGTTCGAAGTCACAGGGCAAACACCACCCTCTTTTTAAGATAAATATGGATATGTAGAGACAGTAGGGTGGTGGTGCTGAACTAGTATTAGGCTTATCAAATATCCCACCCACCCCCAGCCAGGAAAATTTGCTGCAAGACATCCCTGGCCTCCGAGATCGACGGCCGTCGATCCGGGTCCTCGTGCCAGCAAGCCTGCAGGAGGTGTTGGAGAGCGCCCGGCCATCGGGGGTCCAGCGGCGGCCTCAAGCCGCCGGTGATGACCTCTCGGTAGTGGTCGGCCACACTCATTCCGGCGAACGGCTTTCGGAGGGTGCAAATCTCCCAGAGCACAATGGCGAATGAGTAAACGTCGACCTTCTCGTTGTACGGGAGGCCCTTGCAAACCTCTGGGCTCATGAAACGCTTGCTGCCGGCCATGCCCGACATCTATGCAGAACGTGACAAAAGAACGCGAGAGGGCGAGGGGGTGGTGCAAATGTCACAAATGCAATGAACCACGAGAGAATCTCACCCTTTCATGTTTGAAATACCCTGTGGATAGGGAAATCCCACCCATTCCGTGCATCCGTCTGCAACTCTCTGCGTACCAATCTCCCCGAAAGAATGAATGAAGTAGGATCGTTCTAATCCTCCGGTATTCATTCGACCACCAAAACAGCTAGTGCCTACCCTATTTCCTTTTTAGAAGTAGTTTACTCCAACCCGAATTGTTCAAAGCCACGTCGTACTGCTGTAGTTTCCCGGCATGAAACTTTGAGTATGAAGTAGAATCCGCGGCGACGCGTACACTTGACGGCATGCCAGAGTCCAAGGCTCTCCGTTACCTGGTATTTCTGGTTCAAGTTTCCTCTCCGAACCTCTTGCACCACGGAAAGCCCAAAGTCGAACACCTTCACGTGCCCCTCGGCGCAGAGCCCGATATTTGTTGGTTTGAGATCTCTGCAAATTTTGAGGTGCGAGGAGGTGCGAGGGAGGTTCGGCTGTTAGCTTTTCGGTGTGTCGTGTAAAAAGCGGGTAAGGAGGGTGAACCCGACGAAATCGTCAACACAACAAAGGCGCGTCTAGAGTGTATAGTGGCGTGTGCCAAATACCACCTCCTTACCGCAGCAGTACGGCGAAAGAAATTGCTGCTGCAAAATTGTCCACGTGATGATCCCAAACCTAGACAATGTAACAAGCCGTCGCCATTCGTCGGTTGTCCAGCATGAATAGGCGTCATGTGTGCAATCATAATGCATCTTACACGACAAGCACTGCCTGCCGCCGTTAATACTGCAAAGACGAGATGCATATTTGCGTATACCACAGTGGTTGAGAGGCGTGCACAACTCATCCATAAGTACGTACGCACAAGGAGCCGGATTCAAACTACACGCCTGTTGTGCCCCCGCCGTTGAGGATCTGACAACCGCACTGCAAAAGAACAGAAATTTTTTCGTGACGAAACAAAAGCAACAGCACCCAACACCTCTCGTCTGCACCTTCCCAACATAACATATATGAGACACACAAGACAGCTACCAAACTGATTTGTTGAGCCTGTTACCCGCAGGAGAGATGTCCCTATATGTTGTCTGGGAAATCGTAGACATACAGGTAGTTTTCTCTGACGCTATGATTCCATTGTTAATCTGTCTATGACTCTTTTCTATGATAGATGGACTCGTTGTGTCATATTAAGAAAAAAAAAAAAACAGCAGTAGTCCAGATTCCCGACGACGGCGGCACAATCCTTCGTGCGCGGTAGCTTCAGACAATCCCCCGAATAAGAAGCAACGTAATCATATCCGTATGTTGAGCTGGGCTGACGGCCTTACCAACACACACCACGAGCAGCAGCAGCCGCCGTGATGCCTGCTGCTCAGCATACAGTCGACCCCGCTTGAAGGACGCTTGCGTTAAGCAAACTCCCCGCTTAAAGGGAACTTGTTTTGCTGAGCGCTGAGCATCGGGGGCCCGGCAGAATATACGATGATCACGTATACCCCCATTTTTCTGTCGCGTACCCCCCTTTTTGTGTCATGCGGGCCTGCGGGCCGCTCTTCACACGAACCACCCACCACAGTGAGTGCACAAGTAGCGACGCACAGACAGCAGAAGTAGCGAGCGGTCTGCTGCTGCAGCTGCAACTGGGTGTCGGTATTGATAGATTCCTCGCATTTACCGGCGGTCCATCTGATGCCGCCAAAAAAAGAGTCGTGCATAACCTCGTCCCTCACCGAGGGCGAGGCTACCTGTCGCTTGGAGGACGTTCGATCCTACGGATAGCGCCCGCAGTTATGAAACGTCAAAATCGGTTCGAGCCTCACCAATCTCTTCTTTTGGGTCGAAGTACCGGCCCAAGTCGTCCATTTCGTAAATGGCATTTCTTCTTCCTTTGGACTGTCGCATCCTCCCGATTCTCTTTTTCCTTAGACTACCAACAAGTACTTCGTATTTTCTTTTTTCTATCTTTTGATCTCTGAGGACANGTCGCTTGGAGGACGTTCGATCCTACGGATAGCGCCCGCAGTTATGAAACGTCAAAATCGGTTCGAGCCTCACCAATCTCTTCTTTTGGGTCGAAGTACCGGCCCAAGTCGTCCATTTCGTAAATGGCATTTCTTCTTCCTTTGGACTGTCGCATCCTCCCGATTCTCTTTTTCCTTAGACTACCAACAAGTACTTCGTATTTTCTTTTTTCTATCTTTTGATCTCTGAGGACAATCGACATCAAGCCCTCAAGAGCGGTGGTGGAGAGTGCCATCAAACCCGTTCAACAGCGGAGAGCATATGGTTGCCCGCGATGTGTGGCAGTACTACAACTAACTGTAGTACAGCACTCACTGTGAAAAACAGGGTCGCGGGGGGACGGGAGGGGGGGGGACTCTGCTCCCTACAAAAAAATGCACTACTTCTTCTATTCAGCTTGGGAGGGGGTCGGGAGCACCGCAGATTTCTGATGCCATGGGGATATCGCACCATCACGTTTCTTGTTGGGGCGTTTCTTACGTTGTGGCCGAGATTGAGCTATGTTTCTTACCCATTCTTGGTATTTCTCGTACAAAGTTGAGCCTTTTTTCTTACAGAATTTTCGCAACTGTGGGCGCTATCTGTATTTGTACGCGAAGGGAAGGGTTGGCGAGTACCGTGAGACGCAGCACCTTTCGAAGACCGTTCATTCGTTTACTCATGAAACTCAACAGAGTCGTAAAGCCGAGCCGCGGGGGGAGTTTCAGGGAACTCTTCGCGATATATATGTGGAAGGAAAAGCCATCAGGGTAGCTTTTGGTCTCCGCCGGGACAGTGGTATGTACTGACTGGTGTTTCTCGGTGCGACGCTGAAATACGCTCGTTATTTTTTTGTTTCACCAGAATGAGATAAATAGTCTATAGACTATGTCTACTTAGACTGTTCCTCCTCCTTCCGCTGCCGGCTATGTCGTACATTTGTTGTAGCCGAGTACAAACTGTTGTACTGCTGTAGTTTTCAACACGTCCCCGACTGCTGTACATGTCATTTCAAGTTTTGTAGATATGTTCGACGTCAACAAACGGTTGCCGGTCGTCTCGGCAATGTTGACTTTTCGAACCACCCCCTTCCTTAGCAAAAGATGCGTCGTTAGAGGGATATCATGCCTCCATTGGCCCCAGGGATGGTGAGCTATCGTCCCCTGAATTTGAACGACGATTTTTTTCAGGAAAAACCATGTGCGTCCTTAAAGCGGGGTCGACTGTATGCACATTTCCGATGAAGAGGAGATTTGGAGACCGCGACTGTTTTTCATGTTGATCGAGACAAGACAATGGTTGACATATATATGCATATGGCGAAGACACCTCTCCTTCACACGCTTCAACTACTTCCTGGCTTGAATCCTAACCCTAACACAGACATCGCCGACTGGCGTTTGGTCTCAGTGCACCGCTGTGGAAAGGTGCCAGCAGGCTGGTGTGCACTGGATGCGCGCCAACAGGGTAAAGAATGGAGACCACAACAAGAGGAGAGAGTCAGCACAGCCGACAACTTGGGCCAGATATCAAGTAGAGAAAAATATGTGTTTCGGGCGGATGTCTTGTGCAAGCAGCTGCGCCACCAGCGCAACGATGTGGTAACCAATTGTTGCCGGCATCTCTCTGCAGTTGTAGGCCCGCGTTGTGAACTCAATCGCTTCACGCCACTAGCTTTAACGTTCATGACCCAATGCATAGCAAAGGTCTCGTCGGGCGGTGGTATGCCAACACGGTGTCGAAACAGCGTCAGGAGCCTGCACACGAAAAAAAACTGAAAACGTCTTCGCTCTCACCGGTGAAGAATAAAGCCCGGGAGAGCATCGCGGTGCAAGTACTGCAGGGCATCAGCTAGCTCGAGCGCCACGGGTAGACGCGTGACGAGATCAACCCACGCCCCTCCGTCAGCGGCATCGCCACCCAGCGTTCGGCTGCTCTCGATAGCTCCGGCAAGGCTGCCCCCCTCGAGACGCTCCAGGACAAGGAAAGGCTCGCCTCGAGACGTGAACCCAGCACCCAGCGCGGCGGCAATGTTTGGATGACCGCCTCGTGCTGAGATGCGCTTATAGATTGCTATCTCGGCCAGCAGATCAGCCGCCGCGCTGTTGGGCCCCTGCGGTTTGGGTATTTTGAGCACGGCTCTCTGAACGCCGTTGTACGTACACGAGCACACGATGCAAAATCCACCGTGGTCCAGCGGCTGGATATCGGTGAGCGCGTCCAGGGACAAGTTGTCTTGAAAGACGGCTGTTGAAGAATCGAAGGCCGTGATGTCGTCGTCCTCGTCACTGCTGCTGTTCCCGCAATAGCCTGAAATGGATGATTGTTGTCTGTGTTGTGGGCGGTGGAGGTGCGGGTGTTGGAGCTGATGCTGCTGCATTGTTGCACTAGCTGCGTAGTAAGTTGCTGCTGCTGCCAGAGGTTGGGGTCGTGATGCTGCTGCTGCTGGTGCACTTCTTCTTCCTGTTGGAAAATGGGACTACTGCTATGGCGGCTGTCACTGCACCCCATGAACAAACAGGTCCGCTCGTAGGTTGTAGTTCCTTGATCGCAGAGTAAAGGAGCCAGCGGTTGGTGTGAGGTGAGAGTGTAGCGGGGAAAAAATATGTCGGTGTTTTTGCTGCATCTGCTGTCGGGTTTTCCGACATGGCTGTTAGAAAAATAAATTTTCTCTGGGTGAAGAAGCTTCTTATGGTCAAACACATGGCTTGATTGGCCAGGCACAAACTATACCGAGAAGCCCTTTGTATATACGAAGTAGTCTATATATTTTTACTTCCCGATGGGACGAATACATGAACATCCCAAACCATTGAAAAATATCTGTCTTGGTGATGGCAACAACGCCGGCGGTGAACGCTACCACAGGTCTTCTAGATTGAGTACATCGCAGCGGGCCAATATACCCATCCGACATATATGCATACGAGGCAGCGTGTGCATCACCATATTACAGCATGCTTGCAAATTATGGGACAAACCTGCTCTGTGTATGCATGCACCAATAACGCCACAACAACAAACACACGAGGTCTGGATGTAGAAGAAGAAGATGTCATGTGCAACCTCTACTGCTGTTCTCTCTCGATCGCGCGCGCTTTGAAAATCGATCAAGGGGGAGGGTGGTATCTTACGCAACCCGCGGTCAAGGACGATCAAAGGCGACCTAGACTAGATGTTTGTCTGGTTTCGTTGTTGCATGCAGGTCGTCCTTACTCACATTATATATCACCCCGCTTGTAATATCAGTACTACTAGTGCAACTCACGCATCAGCTTTTTTTCGTGGCCAAAAGCCAAACCCCCAAGGAGGGGCACCTAGCCGGTCGCCCCGGTGGTCGTCTAGTGGTATCCTCGCAAACCGCAGAGGTCGTGGGTTCGAACTCCCATGGGGTGAAATGAAAAACTTGCTAAATCAGAATCTGCGGGTGAAAGCGAAATATATAGTCTGGCTGAAAAAGCTCTCGTGAGTACCGAACTTCGACGTTGTTCGCACCGTTGACGAGGGAAAGGGACGGCTGGACCCTTTTCGCGATAAAAATATAAATGCGGCACGCACCGCAGGAGGAAGGTGGGGCATGAAAATCAATGAAGAGAAGAAATAAGCCCTGGTGTTTACCCCCTCCTCCTTGTTGTTGTTGTTTCTCACATTATTAGCTCTAAAAAAGAAAGATTGGGAGCCCGTGGTCTCAAAACCCGGCATACACGACCCCACGAAGAAACGGAAAAAAATAGGGTACAAAAACCACTCGGAAGAGAAACAAAATGATAGAAAGAAAGACCAGCTACCGCACCAAACGAGAAAGAGCGTCGAGGAGACCGATCAAAATAAAATAAAGATCTAAAGGAGAACGGGGAACGCTTCCCACACCCGCCTACACCGCCGGAGGGTTCCGTGCCGGGTTCCCGCCGACCAGGCGTGTGTGACCATGTGTGACCCTGGATGGTGGTGGTTGTTGGACGAAAAAAACACTGAAAAGTGTGGTACTCTACATACATATGCTGAATAATGTAGTCGAGTACCCTTCTCAACACGAAAAGCGGGTGGACTACTCTGTCGCCATGATAACTAAGCGAAAACACAAACACACACACACCCTCCGGTTAGCGCGGTCGATGAATAATAAAAACACACACCCTCTTATGTTGCTGCTGTTTCTATCTTTGATCCGAAGGATAATTTAGCCTCCCCCATGCTGCCTCCTCACGGGGTCCCAGTTCATGGCAGATAGAAGTGTTTTGTGTTTTCAACGGTGCTGAGACTGACGTCTTTTCATTGGTCAGCCGGTTAGCGCGGTCGACGTTAATAATAGAGAATACACACACCTTTTTTTTTTGGAGCTAATGTGAGAAACAACAACAACAACAACAACACCCTCTCCGACTTAATGTTTACCGCTGTCAATGACGTGAGATACCACACCCCTTCGGTCGATTTTGAAGCTTGCTTTCTCCACAGTAGAAAGAGAAGCGGTGTCCAAAATGGCGGCACTGAAGCCGTCTCGTGGAGAGATTTCCGGGAAAGCATCGTTTTATTGACGCATTCTCTTCGTTGTGGAGTGATGGAGTAATCGGGCTTTGAACATCGGGCCAGGGGGTGTGGTATCTTGTGTAACGGACGGTAAGAACAAAAATCAAACAAGTTCTCCTATAAAAAATCCAAAATTACCAGAAATATAAAAAAACTCCTGGAAAACTGGGGCCGTAGGCTGGAACAAGGCACGCCCTGCTGACACGGTAAGAGGGCACAGAGCTAGGGGAAGGGCCGAGCGAGCGAGCCAGAGAGCGTGTGTGCGAGGGAGATTGACTCATACAGACAGGCGTAGAACGACTTTTTCGTCTTCCAGAGAGCTGGAGAAGGGCGGCTCCCTAAGTCGACCGTCAGCACAATCAGCAGCGACGATGGTCAATTCCAAGAGGTGCGAACCGTTGAGCGACCACTGTTTCGTGTTATCCCATTAAGGTACTCTAGTGGCTTTTCGTCCTCCGCCAGGCAATTTTGCCGTGGCAACGTGTCACCTTGAGTAGTTGTTCACGGGGACAAACAGTTTCCTTCCGTTTTGTGTGTTTGTCTCCCTCGTCCTCTCTGTCTGTCTGTCGTCTCTTCGTACGTTTCGCGACAGCACAAGCTTGGTGGCGTTTCCTGCGTATGTACACCCCACAAAGGCACGGCTAATTTGCCGCTCCTGCCTCCGCTGTAAACCGTTCCGAGCATAGCCCTAGCTATGCCTGACTCTGCAGCTGTGTTACACCAGTAACCCCACGCCAAAACTTCCTTTCGAGGGCATCCACAGGAGACCCAACACTACCACGCACCACATAACGTAAAAAAACCTTTGGACGAACTAGTTATAGAGATTTTCTTCTTGCGGAACATCTCCCTCACACGTGGTACATACTGCTGTACATCACGCGGTGCAAGGCGGACATCGCCACGGCCTTCTTTTCAGTAAAGATTATCTCACAAAAAGAATTCCCGTTCGAGATATAGCTAACCACATCAGTCGAAGGGGTGTGCTGAAGTCTTGTCAGTGCGTGGAGGCCCTATTTTATCCTCGCTCGGTCTCTCTCTCTCTCGCTCTCTCCTCTCTTGCGCTTCTCGCCCTGTCTCTGTCCACCACGAAGCAAGCGCGGCACTGCTACACCTGTGTACCCCGCAAAAAGTAGCACCCGGATCGTGTACTGCAGGAGGATCAGCTCTGGCCGTAGTGCTTAGAAGCCGGCGACGGCTCCCACCCCACTCATTTTTTTCGCCTCTCTTTTTGCGCGTTCAGCAGCAGCGTGGTTGTTGTGTGTTGTGGAGACGGCTTACTGCTGTAGTTAGTCTGCTGCCGAGAGCCTCACGTCTGCAGAAAGAGGAAAACAGGGTGGGTGGGATAGCACTGCGAACGACGGCATGGCGAAACTAATGCTGCTGTACTGCTGTGTCCACCGAGAGACAAGGAGCGGTCAAGCCTCATTTTTAGAAGTATTCTCGTCATTCTCGTCCATCCAGGCAAAATATCGTATGATCAACCTCTCTGCGGGGAGATATAGACCGAAATGCCGGAGAAAGTCCACACACACACTCCATTGCTTCTGTGCACAAGTCGAGGGCACAATTTGGTTGTATTGATATTAGCCTCTCTACGAACAGTGGTCATCATCAACAGGGAATTAATAGTCAAATGCTGGTTGGCACGTTTCGGACTTACCCTCCCCACTCGCTCCATTACTGGCTGCCATACAGAGTGCCGGCCCGCACTTATGAACATGGCACTTAAGAATTTGATGCTAAAAAAAAACAAAACTTAAGAATTTACCGATAAGAACATTTGCTCAGCTGCACGCCCTGTTAGGAACAAGAACACACACCTGAGGTGCAAAACTGCTGCTACAAATAAGAACGACAGCAATGCAGCGGCTGCCAGATAAGAATACTCGTAGGGGGAGGGAGAGAAGAGGGGGGAGTGATCCCAGAGTACAGAGTATTGGATTTGGGAGGGGTACATACCCCACATATCAACAGTTGTATTTTTTTAGAGGGGAAGGGTGGGCGTTGTACGCACGCGTCGTGCCCCTGGGTGCCCCCAAGAAAAGCGTGATGCGCGGGCGGGGTGAGCTCCCCAAGGCGAGGTCCATTGTTATCATGGACAACTTGCACGCGCAGACCACGGACGAGTTCAAGGAGTATCTTGCGAAGCACTGCAACACTCTCGCCTGGTATGGCCCTTCGGAGTGCACGGACGAGGTGCAGCCAGTTGATGCAGGAGCCGGACGATTTCTCAAGGTGGAAGTCGGGAGGCAGATGGACATATGGCTCGAGCAGTCGGACAACCTCGAGAGGTGGGAAACCGCGTCGCTGACAGCTTCTGATCGGCGCGTCCTGATCACTCAGTGGATGGGAGCGGCCATGGCAAGACTCAACAGCCAACAGGCGTACCGATACCGTCTTTTCGAAAAGTGCGGGATGGCCATGACCGTGGCCGGCTCGGGCGATGATCGAATCACCTTGGAGGGTTTGGACAAGCCGTATACCTTCGCTAACGATGAAGACAGTAGCGACGACGAACAAGGTTCGGAGGACGGCAACGATGAGCCTGAGGGGCGGGCGGAGGAGGGCGATGGAGGACGTGAGACGCTCATGGAGGGCGTTGACTCCAGCGAGGAAGACGACGGCGGTAAGTTTGTTTTGCACAAAACAAACTCTTCATCTTCTTTTTGTTTATGACGATGTCCTTCATGTTGACGTTAGCTTGTTTCCGCGCACGGCTACACTCAAATTATGATAAGTTCAGGTTGAGTTTGGCGACGTGACACCCTAACTTCTTGTGTTTCCCGTTGCCTCGTTCGCAGACATCTCTCAACCCCAGACCGACGAGCTAGCTCTTCTGGACGACGACGACAGCATGGACCCACAAGACCCGGAGGATGAGATACAGGGAATGGAGATCCCGGCAGGCTTTCGTATTCAAGAAGCTAAACCCGTTGCTCTTGACAGATTGCTTTTGCGGCGTGGAGTGCTCGTTAGGCTGGGCATGGGGTGGTTTGGAGGGCTGATCACTCAACAATCTCAGAAGGACACTCGCCACCTGTACGACTACTGTGTGCAGCTGGAGCTAGACCAGAGTACGCGCAAGATGAAGTTGCCCTTAGACAAGTACAGCGGAGATTCGGATGCGGCTGTAGGCTCCTTTTTTTTTTCTTATCACACATAAAAATCCATCTCTATCTAAACTATAGAAATGAGTCTCAGATAGATTAGCAATGAATCCATAGCGTGAGCGAAAGCTAGCTGTATGTCTACGGTTTCCCAGACAGCATACAGCGATATCTCCCCTGTGGGTAACAGGCTCAACAAGGCAGTTTGGTAGCCATCTTGTGTATCTATCTGCATGTTATGTTGGGGAGTTCTAGACGGAAGATTTAGGGGAACTCGGTTTGTCGGGTGTTCTAATATGGCACCCTTATGTGGTTGCGGAGCAAGCGCGTCTCGGGGTGTGTATATTTTCGTCATTACCTTATTTTTTGTGTGTGATGTATGGGAGCATGTGCGGGACGATGTTGTGTAATTGCACGTCATTAAATGTGCGAAGGGCACGGGAGAACATTATCGCATCATTGCCTCCTGACGTGGCCGCCGATAGACTCGAGAGGCGTGTGGTTGAGGTTTCATCACCGACATGTGGGTGTGTGTTAAATGCAGTGGGTATGGTCACCTCTCTCGCCCGTGTGTCTGCAGAAAGTATGGCTACCTTTCCCATTTGTAGACAGCGCGGACCATAAGTAAAGACAGAGTGTATCATATCATGCATCTACATCAGTTGTATGTGGAAGGGAGGAATGAGAGGTTGTTCAAGTTTGATGGTGTGTGTATGGGTAGGGGGGGTACTTCCTGTGTACGTGTTGTTCCCAGATGTTGTCGCATCAAGTGGCAGCATGTGTCATGGACAGGTAGACGTGGAAGGGCAGCGACAGGTGAACGGCAGCAGCAGTATGTTGTGCATGGTGGCATGTTGGGCTTGTACAAAGACGCAGTCCATCTTCGACCACACACAAACGAGTTTGATTTTACCTGTCGGAGTTTTGGAGGGCCCAAGTCAGTCTCAAGCAGCAGTAGGAAGGAGCGAACAGGCGCAGTGCTTCTCTACAGCTTTAGACTCCGTCCTCCTCAAATCCTAACGGAGATGATTACGTATCGCACAACGGCTGGATCCGAATTGCCGGCTAGCTCCGATAACCAGGAAAGGTGGGAGAGTAGCTCAGACGAATGGCTGCGTGTGCGCTCCTTCATGTGCATACTTGNCGAGTTTGATTTTACCTGTCGGAGTTTTGGAGGGCCCAAGTCAGTCTCAAGCAGCAGTAGGAAGGAGCGAACAGGCGCAGTGCTTCTCTACAGCTTTAGACTCCGTCCTCCTCAAATCCTAACGGAGATGATTACGTATCGCACAACGGCTGGATCCGAATTGCCGGCTAGCTCCGATAACCAGGAAAGGTGGGAGAGTAGCTCAGACGAATGGCTGCGTGTGCGCTCCTTCATGTGCATACTTGGCTGACTCTTTGAAGGGCAGAATTCTGGTTCAGTGGAACTTTGGCGGCATTTCGGCCTTTCCGGTATTTGGCGTTGTCACCTGGATGCATGGGACACGTAAATTTGTCACTCTACTTGCAAGGGACACGTTTCATTTTCAGTGTTGCCCCTTGCGGTTTCGCTTGAGAGCATTAGTAGATCAGGAAGGGTACGCAGGACCAACGTCACCCTCGTGGACCAAGAAGGTTGACAGTTGCTGCTCCATGCCTTGGTATCTTCTTGTATCGACAGCAGTACTAGTGTTGCTCATGGTTGACAGCCGAAAATATAGCAAATGATGTTAAAATACTGTAAGAACAAGAATGCCCCTTTCTGGAGAAGAATGGACTACGAAATAAGAACTTGGCAAATATGAACTGGTGCTCGGTTGGGGCAGCCAATAAGAACTGAGCCTCGCCCAATATAGGAGGTTCTTAAGTGCGGGCCGGCACTGTACTCTGCACGGTAGAAGACAGCCGTTTCGTGACACCGGTTGCTTTGCGAGCTTTCGTTGCGGCCACACCGTACGCCCACGCATGGGAGCTGTTGCAAGCACGGCAAGGTATTGGCCATGGAAACGTCGGCGGTTCAAACCAGGAGAGGAGTTATTTGATGGGAGCGGGGCGAAAGTGTTTCAGAGTCAGCCAGCCGTCCGCTGGTCAGAACCTGGCATTGAGTGTGTGAGGCAAATATCTTCTTGTCGAAGGATATTTTTCGTTGACGAAGTTTTGTCAAGGCTCAGCGGCTCCCGCAATGCAACAACTGCAAGGTACGACACGATCTGCTGTGGGAGAGGAGAGGACAAGAAATGAAGGCAACCATGGGGTACCAACGCGGCGTAACTTATCAGGGTGCAATCGTCGCCTGAGACACACAGCAGTGCAAGTGGTTGTCAGCATCTCCTATCGTGCACTTGTATCCTCGTTTCCTAAAAAACAGAGTTTTGTTTTCGTTTGTTTCACCTTTTTGTTTTATTTTGACGAACCTGCAGCAAGTTTGTGTCCATGAGCCCTGAGGCGGTTCGGGGGGCCATCTTGCTGACCCTGGTGGTGCAGAACTCCGCCCAGGCGATCTTCATGCGCTACTCGTTCAAGCCCAAGAGCCAGGTGCGGTGGGCGTGATGCGATGCGGTGCGGATTGGAGCCCTTTCTGTGTTGCAGCCTTCGCGGTAATGCGATGGAATGGATGCAGATGTGATTGGATTTTGTCGTGTGGGTTGCAGCATGCCGTGCCGTTCCGTCGTATGAAGGACGAGGCGATCATTGGTTCAGTGCGCCATTGGGCGTCCCGTAGTGTTGTGGTATGTCCGGTGCGGTGCTCCGTGGCGATTCTGTGACGCGATAGTGCGGTGACGGGGAAGGAAACATGCCATCACGCGACGTCCTGCTGTGACTTTCACAGGTAGAGGGAGAGGACAAAGAAGCCGAGCCGGCGTCCTCGACGGCCGTGATGATGGCCGAGCTGTGCAAGCTCGCCTGCTCCATACTCCTGCAGTACCGGGTAAGCCTGCTCTTTCCAGCACCTTGTTGTTGTTGTTGTTGTTGTTGTCATTCACGTTGAGACTATCTTCTGGCTCTCTGCGACAGGAATAATGCCTGAACGAGATCTCGTTGGCGCGTTACGACCGATCAGTGCAGTACGAGACCACCCCCGGGAATTGTCGCCATGGTAGGCGAGGTGGGAGGGTGTTATCGCGCAACAGAGACAAGCTAATTGTTCGGGAGATGTCGGCATGACGCGGAGCGAGAGTCTCGGAGTGTATGCGTAGGATACGGCAGAGACGTGTAGAGCACTCGAACGCTGACGGCTTCATTTCCCGAGTGTCCGGGGAGGAATGTACGGCGCCACGCCTGTTTCGGAAGGGACGCGTGTCGTCAAGCAGTGAAGCCTAGCAGCGAATGAGTCGCCCCTTCCCCCCCCCCCCGGTGTTTGCCATCGGGGTTGGGTTTTCGTCGCTTGGCAACGACGTTGTAAAACAAGCCAATTCACTTCGTGAACTCGGTATCCAGGTTACCGGTTTTTTTATTTTACCGTTTTTTTTTGGCGGTAACCATAATGGTGGTCGAGTAGATCATGTTGTGCGGGGTGGTGAACCCTCACTCCGCGCAAGGGGGATGATCGCACCACGTTGTGTTGAAATGGTCAAGCACCCTCGAGGCAGTTACACAGTGCTTACAACTGTCTCTGGAAGTGAAAGCACCAGAAAATAAATTAAGTCATACGCAGCTGTCATCCGTACGCGAGGAAGTAAGCACAAGATGCCGAACACCCTTAGCAGGATGCATCCTTGATGCGACTCGCCGAATATCTCACGGCGCTTCGCGCTTGGTGATGTGAGAGCCTGGTCCGGTGAGAACCCGGCGTGCTCCGTCCCGGCTTTGTAAAGATGCGAGGTCAATGGTCTAACGACTACGGCATGCACGACTATGAGTACACCCCCGCCCTCCCCCTTCAGGATGACGGCAGCGTTCGGCACGTGGTCAAAACTCTCCGAGAGGACGTGTGGGAGAGGCCGGTGGAACTGGTCAAGATGGCCGTTCCGGCGTGCCTCTACGTGGTCCAGAATAATCTCAACTACGTGGCCATCAGCAACCTCGACGGGCCGACCTTCCAGCTCCTCTACCAGCTCAAGATCCTCACCACGGCCTTGTTTTCCGTGCTCATGCTCAAGAGGTGTGTTTTTTGTGTTGTGGTCGGTGTCTACGGGCTCAGCGACGATTTGCGACTGACTCATGAAGATATGTTGGTGTTTGGGGCGTGGCAGTGAGTGAGGCGCGTTTTTTTTGTGTTTTTGCTCGAAGTGGGTGATGTGCGGTGATCGTCATGATTCTTGGCAAGGAGCCATAATTTCCCCCGTGTGGTTATTTGATGGGTGCTTGCAACTCGCTTGCTGTACCTCGTCGCGATCAGCTGATCGACCACCGTACCTTTGCATACGTACCTCCTTTGTTATGTGCTCCGTAACTCCGGTGTGCCGTTCCGTCCATATTCAACCGCCACCCCGCCTCGACGTGACCCCATGCTCGGCAACATTTGCTGTTTCCCACCGCACCCACCCATCTTCCTCTCGACGAACACCAACAACCAACACGTCAACGCAGGGTGCTCCACATGAAGCAATGGGGCGCGCTGGCGATGCTGGCCGTCGGGGTAGGTCTTGTGCAGGTGTCGTCGAGCTCGAGCCAGAGCTCGGGGGATTCCGAGGACGACGGTGTTGGCATTGACGACGCCGAGGGGGATGAAGATGGAAGCGGGCAAAACCCTCTCTTGGGCCTGGTGATGGTCCTCCTGGCTTGCTGCACGTCGGGCTTCGCCGGGGTGTACTTCGAGAAGGTGCGGATACTGCTGTACATGTACTCCCTTTTTTTTTTGTCGAACGGAACGACCGCTGTTTTGCCTTGGCTCCGTCTCTCTCTCTCTCTCTCTCTCTCTCTCTCTCTCTC